ACATTTACGTCTATCGGCGTCTTAGCTATCTTTGTATCATCCTTGTTGAATTTCTCAAGGATCTTGTCAATGTAGTGGGATTGGCTCAAGCTCAGACCATCCGGTCTTCTTAGTATTTTGATTCCAAGAATCACATCAGCCAGACCCAAATCTTTCATATCGAATCGTGCATTCAACATGTCCTTGGTGGACTTGACCATCCTATCGTTGCTTCCAACGATGAGTATGTCGTCTACGTACAGACATAAAATGACATACCCTTCAGATGTGTCTTTAAAATATACGCACTTATCCGACTCATTTATTTTAAAACCGTTACTTATCATTACCTCGTCAAACTTATCATGCCATACTTTTGGCGCTTGTTTAAGACCGTATAATGATTTCACAAGTTTGCAAACCTTCTTTTCTTGGCCCGGAACCTTAAACCCTTCGGGTTGTTCCATATAGATTTCTTCATCTAGTTCGCCATTTAGAAAAGCTGTCTTCACATCCATTTGGTAAACATCCAAGTTTCGTAAGGATGCAAATGCGAAGATCATTCTGATAGAATCTATCCTAGTCACAGGCGCGTAAGTATCAAAGTAGTCATAGCCCTCGCGTTGGCTATACCCCTTGATCACAAGTCTAGCTTTGTACTTGTCAATGGAGCCGTCAGGCTTCATTTTTCTCCGAAAGACCCATTTGGAACCTAATGGCTTACACCCTGGAGGGAGATCAACCAGTTCCCACGTGTGATTTTGAAGGATAGAATCAACTTCACTCTTTATGGCCTCTTGCCACTGAGTTGAGGTTACGGCCTCGTGATAGGTTCGTGGTTCTTTTTCTACCAAACAGGTTAGAATATCGGGTTCATTTCCCATTAGAAATGACAAAGTTCCTTTGTCAAATTCTATCAGATATGTTATGAAGTCAGAACCGAACGTCTTTTCAGTTCGCATTCTTTTACTTCGTCTCGGTTCAGTCTCATGCTCGACTTCATCATCATCGTCATCGGAATTCAACGGATTTGGATCATCATTATCCATCATCTCAGCATGAGAACGTTTGGACGAACTCGCTTCGTCACTTGACTTGCATGGAAAAATATGCTTGAAAAATGTTGCATTCCGTGACTCGACGATTGTGTTCTTGTGAATTTCAGGATTATCTGATTTATACACCAAGAACCGGTATGACGTACTACTGTACCCGATGAAGATTCCATCAACTGTTTTTGGACCGATCTTCATCTTCTTCGGTGGTGGTTCAAGTACTTTCGCGAGACACCCCCACACTTTGAGATACTTATAGGAAGGTTTCCTATTATGCCAAAGTTCATACGGAGTTTTGTCAAGTTTCTTACGAGGTATTTTATTTAGTAAATAATTACTTGATAAAACAGCCTCCCGCCACATGTTCTGAGGTAATCCAAAACTAAGCAGCATTGCATTCATCATGTCTTTTAGAGTGCGATTCTTGCGCTCCGCTACTCCGTTAGACTGTGGTGTATACGGTGGGGTTACTTGATGCACAATTCCATGTTGTGCACAAAACTCATCAAGTGGAGCATCATACTCACCACCTCTATCGCTTCTCAATGCTTTTATCTTGCGATTGAGTTGATTTTCCACTTCGTTCTTATATCGAACAAAAGTGTCTAACGCTTCATCTTTACTTTTTAGTAAATAGATATAGCAATATTTCGTGTTATCATCGACAAGGTAATAAAGTACTTATTACCTCCTCTTGAAGGCGTTGTTCGAAAATCACACAAGTCGGTGTGAACCAACTCTAGAGGTTGAGTATTTCGTTCGATCGTTTGAAACGAACTTCGAGTTGACTTTGCCTCAACACAAGTTTCACACTTGCGAGTTAAGTCAATACTAAACTTAGGTATGTGTTCCATGTTAATTAATTTCCGGAGAGATGCATAATTAACATGTCCTAGTCTCCCATGCCATAAACTAGAAGACTCACACACATAAGCAACCGGATTTTTATTGATCTTTCCATGAATAGTCATTACAGTAAGCTTTACAAGCCCATCGGAAATATAACCTTTCCCAATAAAAATCCCTTTCTTGGATAAGATTATCTTGTCTGATTCAAACACCATCCGAAAGCCGTGTTTGATCAGCAGTGACCCCGACACTAAATTCTTGCGAATGTCTGGGACATAGAGCACGTCATTGAGCGTGAGCTCCTTGCCGGAGGTCATTTTCAGCTTGATCTTTCCAATCCCTTGAACCCCTGATTGGGCCGAATTGCCCATCCACACCTTGTCACCGGAGCTCTCTTGAAAGTCGTGAAACATGCTCCGGTTTGAACAAATATGGCGTGTGGCTCCTGTGTCCACAAACCATTCCTTCGGATTTGACCCGACGAGATTCACCTCGGTGACAACCGCGCAGAGGTCCAGGTTGTCAAGCTCCGCACACATGGCTTCAGTGGTTTTCTTCTTTCCCTTTTGTGGCTTCTTTTTCCTACAATCGGAGGAACGATGCCCGGTAATGCCACAATTGTAGCACTTTCCTGCAAATTTAGAAACTCCACCTTTAGGACCCATCTTCTTTTTGTCCTTCCCGCCATGTGAAGAGCCCGACGGATGTTCTACAACATTCGCCTTAGCCCCTCCATTTCTTCTAGCAAGCCCTTCCTCTCGGATCCTCAACCGCGTGAGCAGTTGCTCCAGATTCAGCTCCGTTCTTTTGAGCTTGAGGTCGGCTTGGAAATCTTCCCATGACCGGGGAAGTTTGTGGATGATGGCCGCCACTTGAAAGGCCTCGCTGACGCCTACTTTTTCTTCATTGCATTGATTGAAGATAACTGTAAGCTCCTCAGCTTGGGCGACAACAGATTTGCTATCGACCATCTTGTAGTCCAACATCTTTCCGACGATGAACTTCTTCGTGCCGGCATCTTCAGCTTGATACTTTTTGTTCAAGCTATTCCAAAGCTCCTTGGCGAGCGTCACACCGGCATAGACGGGGTACAACGTATCTCCCAGCCCTTCAAGAATAATATTTAAGGCGAGATAGTTGTTGTGGTACCACGCTTGGTTCACCATTGCCACAAGGGGGTCGTTGGCTTCATTGGGCTGAGGGGGATCTTGCTGTATGTACTCAGCGAACCCCAGGACGGTCAAGAAAAACATCATCTTTTGTTGCCACATCTTGAAGTTCGTCCCATTGAACTTCGGTGGCCTTTGAACCGAATTAGCAGGCACCGAAATCGGCCCAACTGCGTTGGGCGTGTGGAGGAATGGCCCGTTAGTCGCCCAATGGGGTCCAACGAATGGATTGATCGGTGTGGGGAAACCCGCGTTCGGTCCTACGTTGACCGGTGTGGGAAAACCCGTGTTCGGTCCAAGGTTGACCGTCGAAGCCGAAGCCATGGTCGGTCCAAGAAACGGGTTCGAGTTACCGACGGGGTGATCGAGCTCGGCATTGCAAATGACGTCATGGTCGCGGGAATGGGTCGAGGGGCCGACCCGAAGATCGAGCTCGGCATTGAAAATGACGTCATGGTCGCGGCCCCCACACTTGCCCCGAAGGGTAGTGGTGAGGACGGCACAACCATGGCAACCGAAGAGGTTTCCACCGGAATTTCGGAACTTATTCCGTTGCCGGAGGAACCCACGATGCCGAATCCGAACTCCATCGATACTACCTTAAGATTGTTGAATATTATAGCGGGAAAAAAAAAAATAATCCGAACTTATAAAACGTTCGGATTTTACAACAAAATAAAAGAAAGTAAAACTTGGAGTCTTCGGGAGCTCGAACGGACTTTTCTTCGGACGGAGAACAAAGAGTCGCCGGAGATGTTTCTTGAGGAAAGCGGAGTCGCCGAAGCTTTCCTTAAGGTAGTATTGCCCGCCTCCCGCACTGGCTAACGTGGGCAATCTCCTCCCAGGATAAAACCGCTTCGTGCTAGGTCTAGAGCGGTAGAACAAAGCACCGGCGAACGAGAATGACGGAGAGCTATTGCCGGAGAAGATGACCGGAAAAAGGAGATGGTCGGAAGTTTATAATGTAGAGTGAAGGAGAAATTTCGAGTTGGTGTGCTTCTCCCTACAACCAAGCCCTCCTTATATAGGAACGGATTTGGACTCTTCACATGGACTGGACGGAGATTACGAGGAGACGCAAGCCATCCCTTCGTCTCCATGCATGCATGCCTTTGATTCTATACACTTCGTTATCAACGAAGTGTCTATACACTTCGTTATCAACGAAGTGTATACACGCGTGATTTGGTCTCGTAAAAATTTAGCCACGCCACGCGTGACGTGCCGTGCCGGACGGCGGCGGCGGCGGGCGCACGAGGAGTTCTCTTCTTCTTCCTTTCATAAGCTCAATTCAATGCCTAAGCTTAAATATGAGAATACGAAAGGTTTAGAAACCGGTGTGGGACAAAGGCATTTACAATACCTTAGTATTCAACTTTGAGAATTAATTTCTCATTCACCCGAGCACCGTTTATGGCGTGTAATATGTCAAGACGTTCGTCTTACTTACGAGATTAATCGTCCATAATTATTTTGGAAAAATAATTTGTGGACCCAACCAAATTTATGTCCGAAAAATATCCAATTCACTTTAAAATTTCCAACAGTAACCTGGTCTCCCTCTTGGACTTGTGACGGAGTGAGAGTGTTGTTGTCCCAAAGTATCCAGCACTTATTGTATTGAGTGGAGAAACCATGACTGAAACCAAGCTTGAGTTTGTAGAAGTCCAATTTTTTACCAGCTACAATTGGCTCAGAAATAGCTATAAAAGAGAAATTGTAAAGTTTTTTAAAGAGTCAGAGAATAAGTCTGTTAAGGGAAGACTTAGCTCCTCACAGTCATATTCATCACTGTAAGTTTCACCTCGGTCTGATAATAGAGGGGTAAATTTAGATTCCTCAATTAAAGGTAATGGCTTCCACAACACCAAGGCAAGGTTTTTAACCTCGTATCATTGACAGGAGCTGGAGAAAGGACGAAAGCTGAATCATTGGTGATTTGCAGTATAGAACGGGCAAAAATAACAACTAAAAAGAATCCCTTGTAAATAGGGTGTCGAACCTCAGAGAGACGCGAGTTAATTTAATTTAAACAAAAGTTTACAAAAGAAGTTGTAAAATATTTTGGTCTTTTTGGTTTTAGAGATAAAATAAAAAGTGTAAAAGAAGAGAGTTCCAAACAACACAAAGTTTTTGATGTTGAAAAGTTAGGGGTAGAAATTGGTAAATTAATTGTCCAATGTTTTTATAAAAGTTGGATTGTCAATTTATTTTTATATAGAATGTGTGGAGTTGCAGAAGGACGCTCTCGCAGTTCACCTAAATAATAACTACTCCGACTTTAACACGCTAATGATAAATCCGGAGTAATTATTTAGTAGCAACGGCAACCATAATTATTTTATTGTATGTTTACCCAATTTAATGGTGTAAGAATACAACTCAATAATTATTTCCACCCGTAAGTCTTCAATCCCGGTTAAAGGTAGAGAAGGCTTACGATGTATTTAAAAAGTGTTCTATTTTATGATTATATCAATTTTAGCTCATATTCCTTGTAACAATTATGTTTATGATTGGGCCCTTAATTAAAAATCACAAACATTTCAAATTTATTTATTTTTAAAT